TGAAATCATTAGACCTCAAGTGGAACAAATATATACAATCAATTGCTAACGAATCTGGATTAAAGATCAGTCCCTTGTGCTGCAACAGAAAGTCTCGGATTCCTTCTGCTTTGCAAGTGTCAGACTGGACCAAAATAGAGTATTTCTGCCACCTCTGGCCTGGAGCATGGCGACTTGTTGACAAATTGGATCCATGGCTTAATGGTGTTTGCACTAGATTTGATTTCCATCATCAATCTGAAACAACTCTAGAACCATATGTGAGTCAGCGAACCCTTCCATATGTTGTTAGTCTTCCAGGGTTCAATTAGTGATGTCACAAACCCAGATGTGGTACTGTGTCCAGTGCCTTGGCATTAACAGGAGGAACCTGAAGAGTCTTCTATTCCCATGGAAGCTAAAGAATGCTGAACTGACCTGTTAGATATGTGTCTGGTAACACTTACAATGGATGTCAGTATGATTTGAGCCAGTGTTGCTTGTCTGTTAACACAGACAATTCTAGCTAGATGCCTCTGGCTGTGATTATGAAGGACTCTTCATTGGCCACCGTATTGTCCACAGTTGAGGGTAATGCCTTCCCTCAGGTGTTCCAGTACGAGTGTACCTCGAGAGATATGAAATGTACCCACAATTTCAGAAATGGAATTTTCCATCAGTCTAGCACCCATTATCATATCCTGTTCAAACTAAACTGCTTAGCTTGTGTTCACACTCACTCACCAGATGTCCAGAGCGCAACTGTTATAAATCTGGATATTTCTATGACATAATGGAAAGGCGGCACCATTTATCATTGCATAGTGATATCAGTTTCATATCTTTTATACAAGCCTGGACACTGAAGCCAACATCAAGCAGTGACAGTTTGCATGAACACAATCTTCAGGCCATGTGTATCGTATGGTAGCTTGACTATTTATTTATGTTAGTTAATAGGGCATTATGGGTAGCAAAGTAAGGTATTTCTGGTTTATTGTGTTATCTTAAAGGTTATTGGATAGGGTGGATGGTTACATTTTAAATTATTTAAATGATATTTAATAGAAATAATTATGGGCCAGAAAGTGGTTATATGTAGCTATTGTATAAGGATGTTTGTTGACCTTCAACATTATTTATTATTAAATACTTAGGTATTTTCTATTTATTCATTAATTGTTCACTTTTGATTATTATCATTGTTGTTATTATGATTAAATTTACAGGGTGCAATGGGGTAAATTGTCGCCATTTTATATTTTTTAATTTTGCACATGTGTGTTGTTTATTTTTTTATTTTGTCAACTGCACAGTATAGAAAGGTTAGTTGGGCCCCAGCTGTGAGAAAAAGAGCACCATAACACAATTCACTCCACCAGAAATTGGGAAACAGCATGCTGTACTGCTTGGCATTTGCGCCAGAAGCTCAAATACAAAAATTTCAGAGTTTTTGGGTGTCAATCGGAGGACAGAGGATTCAGAAAGAGTTAGATAGACTAACTGCAAATGCCTGACTTTGCTACCCATAATACTCCATTAACTAACATACATAAATAGTTGAGCTACCATCCGACACACATGGCCTGAAGATAGCATTCAAGCATGAAACAGACTGTTGCCAGGTAGTGTCCATTTTTATATTTACACACACTCTATTCCTGATAATATGGAATACCTTAAAACTATATTTTTATCATATTATATATATATATATATATATATATATATATATATATCCTTTTCTTCCTTTTGAAGGTGGGCATCACTGGCCAGAACGTAAAGCATGCCCACAGCCCAACAGGCATTGATTTGGATCTGGTCAAGATCCAAGATAGATAGTTAAATAAAACCAATGCTCGCAACACAATGCTACTTCCAATGTGAAACACACCTGTTTTCCTTCCATTCTATGTTATTAATAACAAGTGCTATAAGTGCATTGGGTATTTTAACACTATGTTGAAACTTTCAGTTGCAGTTATAAAAAAGAAATCACAAGAGACTGACACATATGCAAAAACAATACTCTGTCTGGTTGCAAAAGCTGCTAGTGGCACCAGGAGTGGCAATACCGTCTTAGCCACTAAAACTGTGTTACCTCCTGGTTGGTGGCTGATGAGGGCAAAGTATCACATGTGCTTTCACACATTGTAGAGAATTACATATGAGCAGCAATTTTTTTTTATAAATGATTCATTGAATGTGATGGACAAAAAAGTAAAAAGTTTCTTATTTAGTTTTTTAAATATTCTTGCAGTTTTCCTTTTATGGGAATGAAGAGAGTGTAGAAACTGTCCCTAGTGGTTATTGTCCCAAGTGCTTTTGGCAAATTCATTAGCCATTTTAAAGTGGTTCATTGCTAGTAAATATTCCTATGTTTATGTTTTATTGCATAGAAGTAGATGTAATTCTAGGCAGTGTTGGATGGGAGTAGCAGTAATTACATATTGGACAGGGTTTTAAAACACTGCCAACAAGATTCTTTTTTCCACTTTCGAAGAGAGTAAGATTTAGACTTCAAAAACAAAAACAAAAAAAACATGTACAATCTATCTATATATAAAATTCTGTGACTTCTGTTAGTCCATCCATAACACCCTCTAAAATGGCCATACATTGATTGACTGTAACCAAATTTTGGGGAGAAGTGCAAACAGCTAAGTGGATTCAAAGCACAGTTGGTTTTACTAGTGTGCGTAGGTTAGTACAAAAAATTTTCACTAATTTCTTTGGAAAAATTAAAAGTCCTATTATTTAACATACAAAATACTCCCACTATTTTAAAAACAATTTAATGATTAAAATAACAAATAATTATTTAATAAAAATTAAATATTGTTTTTTGTATATTTTTTCTTTAGGATTTTATCTTACATTGGTTTGCAAAATTGAATGAAACATAGAGTTTGTAAATATCAACAAAAATGTTACCAATAACTTTGACAATACTAAATACTATCAGGATTTCAACATGTGTCAGCGTGTTGCAAAAAACTTTAGTTATTTTAAATACTACTAATATTTTAATGTCTGCTTTCAGAGCAGATGCTCTTCCTTTTAAAAGTGTATTTCAAGAGTTTTTTCAGACAACTGAACTCATTTTTTATGGATTGTTATTACTACAATATTCTGGCTGATCTATTCTCTGGCCTTCTTTTAATTGTATAATCCAAAGAGAAATGTCAAACAAGTAGTAAACTGTTGTAAATATACCAACTAGCTCAGTTTTGAGGACTACAATAAATTAAGTACAATAAATTCTTATTAACTTTTTTGTAAAAATTAAAAGTTTTATTAATTAACATACAAAATACTCCCACTATTTTAAAAACAATTTAATGATTAAAATAACAAATAATTCTTTAATAAAAATGTAATATTGCTTTTTGCATGTCTATTACTAAATTGAAACATTGCAAGCCACTTGCTACTCTACTGATATTTCCATGGCAAATGTTCTGATGAGCTACATTCCTTAGTGAGCTTACAGCCACATCACATTGAAACACCAGTCCCTGTATGATCAACAAAGTTAAGCAACATCAAGCCTGGTCAGTACCTAGATGGGTGACCACTTGGGAATACCATGTGCTGTAAGCTTGGATGTGTGGGTAGGGTAATGAATAACGGCTCAGAAAATGTTAGCAATAACTTCAACAATACTTATACTAAATATCAGTGTGTTGCAAAACAATTCTAGTAAAATAAAAATATATATTTATCCATTTTATCCAAATCTATTTAAATGGCCCAAAATTCATGGTCATGGTCTAAACAAAATCCATTGACTTTTTTCTATTGTTTGAGCTGTTACATAATATCAATTGTCATATTTGGTTGTGAATGCTGGACAATTTCCTCACAGATGAAAAACAGATATGAGACAACAGAAATCTGGTTTTACAAAAGGATGTTGAGAATACCATGGAATAAACATGTGAGTAATGATGAAGTTTTACAGAAAATGAAAACAAAATATGCTTATATTTAAAGTCAGAAAGAGTTTAAATTTGTAAGGTACATAACGAGGAAAGATGGCCTGGCAAGTCTGACACTCACAGGACCTCCTGAAGGCAAGAGAGATAGAAAAAATTAGCAAATAACCTAACAAAAAGACAAAATTTACTCAGAGCTAGATAAGAAAGGAAGTGGTGGAGAGCCATGATCACCCATGTCCTGAAAGGACACACCACATAGAAGTATTTTTTGTTACATTTTGATGTTTTCTCTTCATTATTTTATCTTATATTTATTTTTGTGTGATTTCTAAAAAATCTTTTTTACTTCCTCTCCCACTATATATATATATATATATATATATATATATATATATATCAGTTAAGTACATTTTCCCCTATCCTGTGACCCCTCATCCACACGTGTCAGTGTAAGAAAATAGGGAAATACAAGTAACGCTCTGCATAAGAAGACATCTTTCATATACAATATTTTAAAACTGCTGCCCTTCTGATCCTCATCCACCCCAATGTGTCTCCAAGAACATGTCTGTCACCATCTGCTTCAAACAAACAAATTCTTTAAACACATTGAATGTTTCATTGAGAGAAGGGGAAAAAAACACATTATGTGGGAAGATTTGTAAATTTTATTTGACAAGGTAAACATCCCAAAGAAGGATGAAGGATTTTTACCCACTAAAAATCAAACAAAAATCATTCTCTTACCCACTTACACTGTCTAAATTCAAAATAATAAAAAAGAAAAATTTAAAAATATAGGTAAAAGGGAAACCAAACACATTCCTAAAGAAAAATATAGCCTGTGTTCGTATTTAAATATCCGTGTAAAATTTAATAATGGCTTAAACATTAAAAGATTTGCCTTCCAGAATGATCGAGTAGGGAATACGGTAAGATTATAAAACAAGTTTGGTTTAGGGTTAGGGTGAAAGGTTAGAGTTTGGAAAATGTGATTTGGGGTATGGTTAGGGTTTGAAAATGAGTTTGTCTTTAAAAATCTGAGTAAAAAAAAAAGAAGAAAACTTGACAAAAATAAAATTAATAAATAAATAAATGAAGAAAGAAAGAAAGAAAGAAAGAAAGAAAGAAAGAATACATGTTATGCAGAGGAGATAAAAGGATGGAATGAGACAGCTTGAGACAGAAAGAGAAAAAGAGGGAAGAAGATTCCTATTGTGGAGTAGATAATGTGAGAAACAGAGAAGGAGAGGGAAAAATAAAAATAAAATAAAGTAGAAGACAAGGGATTCAATGTGAGAGAGAGAGAGAGAAGGAAAAATAGAGAGAGAGAGAGAAGGAAAAATAGAGAGAGAGAGAGAGAAGGAAAAATAGAGAGAGAGAGAGAGAGAAGGAAAAATAGAGAGAGAGAGAGAGAAGGAAAAATAGAGAGACTAAGAGAGAGAGAATTAATTGTGAGGGGGAAAGAGAAATGCATAAAGACAAAAATAAAAATGAAAGATAAAGAATGACAATGAAAGAGAGAGAGATAAGGAGATAGAGAGAGAAAAGTAAGAGAGAGAGAATGAGAAATAAAAAATGAAGAAGAGGGAATTAAGAGATAGGAACTAATAGGGAGAAAGAGAGAATAATATAGAGAAAGAAAGAGAAAGGTGCAAAGAGGAGGACAGACTAAAGTCAAGGAGAGAGACAGATGAAGAGAGTGCAAACCAAGTGAAAGTGATTATAAATAATAGAATTTATGAAGAAGTAGAGAAACAAAAGAAAGAAAAAAAGAGAAAAGGAAGTTTGTGGAAAAAATGAAAAAGGAATTGAAAGAGAGAACGTAAGAAAAAGAAGTATATAGAGAGAGAAGGCAAGAAATGGCAAGAGAAAGAGAGAAAAAGAAAAAGGGCAAATTATAGATCAGAAAAAAGAAAGAGAAAAGAATGTGGAAAGATAGGTGAAAAAGAAAGGGAAAATCACAGAGAGAGAAAGAGAAAAAGAAAGGTAAAGTTAAAGAAAGAAAAGGAAGGAGAAAGAGCAAAGGAATATGGGGAAAGAAAAAGAAAGGGGAAATAAAAGATAGAGAGAAGGCAAAAAAGAGAAAAGGAAGTATAGAGGAAGACAAAGAGAGAGAAAAGGGAAAAATTACAAATAAAGAGAGAAAAAGAAAAAGAACTATGTGAAAAGAAAAGGAGAGGGAGAAAGAAAGGAGGAATTAGAGAGAGAAAGAGAGAAGAAGTATGTTGAGAGAAAGATGAAAAAGAAAGGGAAATCAGTGAGAGAAAAAAGAAAAAGGAAGAATGTGGAAAGAGAAGGAGCAAGGGAAAAGAAAAAAGAAAGAAAGAGAAAAGGGGAAAAAGAAAGAGGAAATCAAAAATAGAGAGAGGAGAAAAAAGAGAAAGAGAAAAGGAAGTAGAGAGGAAGAGGAGGAGAGAAAAGAGGTAAAATTAGAGAAAAAAGCAATATGTGGAAAGAGATGGGGCAGGGAAAAGAAAGAGAAAGTTAAAGTCAAAAAGAGAAATGGAAATATGTGGAAGGAGAAAGAAAAGGGAAATTAGAGAGAGAAAGAGAAAAGGAATTATGTGGAAAGTGAAGGAGCAAGGGGAAAAAAAAAGAAAGAAAAGGAAAGAGAAAAGGGATATATGAAAAGAGAAAGGGAAAAATAAAGTGAATCAAAGATAGAAAGGGGACAAGACCAAGAAAGAGAAAAGGAAGTATTGAAGAAGAGAAAAAGAGAAGTATGGGGAAAGAGATGGAGTAGGGAAAAGAAAGATAAAGTTAAAGTGAGAAAGAGAAATGGAAATATGTGGAAGGAGAAGGAGAAAGAAAGGTTGAATTAGAGAGAGAAAGAGAATAGATGGAAAAAGAGAAAGAAAGACATATATAGAGAGGGGAATGTTTGGAAAACATCTGCTATTTAATAGCAACAATTATAGAAAAACATTAAATCTGAGTGTTATCCTTGAAAATCTGGATGCAAAATAAAAAATGTGAAAATGAAAGCAGAAGAAATAAGATAAAATTAAAATGTCTAGATTCATATTACAGAAAATATCAAAGACAGGAATAAAGAACGGCATATGAAATAAAGGAAGTTCTTAGAGAGGAGAACTAAAAGGAAATAAATTAAAACAGAACAAAATAAACCATTTAAATAAAGAAAACAGTAAAGAGGTAAAAGAAAGAAAGCATAAAAGCTATGAACTGAAGACTTGATAAAGAAAGAAGAAAAAAAACGAGAAAAGTAGCTTAATATTTTTTGAAAGAAAGGAAACATTGTAGAAAGAAAAAAAAGAAATACGACAGAAAACCCGAAGCAAAGAAAAAAAAAAATTACTAAAACAAAACAAAAATAAGAAAGAAAAGGATAAGAATAGTGGCTTGTGTCCAACTCTCGGATTAGATTAAATGTTATCACACTGACTGTCAACATTGCAATGGCACAGATCCGCTTGGTTGATAAGTATTGAACCAGAGTAAAAAAAAGAATGAGAACAACTAGTCATATTGGAAGACATCTGACAAAGAGAGATAGAGTGAAGAAGGGAGAAACGCACGGGCTATGACGGGCTGGGGGGAGGTGCTAGAAGAGAACAGGGGAAAATCTGTTAGAAGCGATTTTCAACATGGCTGACAAAATAGACAAGCACATCTATCTCGTTAATATTTCGCGTGGGCATGATATACAGACTTGGATGGCAGCGGACATGCTTGAAGGAATCAATCTTTCGAATGATCGCACTGAACTTTGCTGTAATACACTGGCATTAATTCTAGCATTGCAGAGATGCTAAGTAAGTATGGCTTTGGTTCCCGGAGATTCAGGCGGAGGGAAGTTAGGGGTCCGGGCATGGTGGCATTTGGAGACAGGAGTTGGGATCGGAAGAAAATGATAGATATCAAATATGGCTGACGTTTTCCTAGTTAACACCACTATTGTTGGTTTGGTTGGAGCATGGCAAGAGTAAAGATGGGTGTTATGGGTGGGTTAGATTTCTTAGAGTTGATAGAACACACATAACAGGTGAAATTACAGGAATAATAAAAGACTATTTGCTTTATGTAATGCAAATGTTTCAAAATTGATAAAGCTTATTCCAAATTACAAAGACGCATACAATGAGAAACGACAGAAATAATGAAATACTTATTGACATTATTCACACTCGGACTAATTAAGGCAATAAAGCCACTAAGACACAAATGAGAATGAAAGACAATAGAGAAATTGAGAAAAAAAACATTAATGAAGAGAAAGGACAATAAAAAGAACAGGATTCAAGGAGACAGAAGATGACAACTGACATTGCATTTAAATTTTTGAAGATCATAGTTCATATGAAAGAAAGAAGTCAGAAGAAAGTTCCGCAGGTGAGGAGTATGAGAGAATATTAGAATAGTACTTATGGTCATATTTAACAATTTTAACAGTACAATGATGGGACTGAACTGCCAGTTGAGTATTATACTTAATGAAGATACCAAAGAGGAAAGCTCATCAGAACAATTACTATGAAAATGCTTAGAGAAAAGGCACAGAGTAGCTATGTTACACTGGTGGGAAAGTGATTGAAGCTGAGGTGCCAGGCTGGGACTTATAATACTGCAAATTATTTTGGAGATTTTGTCCAGAATCCCTAGATACTTTTGATATAACATAAGATATAATATTAATAATATAGTCAAACCATAGATGGTCTTTTTGGGCTCTTCAGCATTGTTAACAAGCTTGTCTTGCTCGATCCTTTACAACTGAATAGTGAGTTTGTTCCACACTGGGTGTCACATACTTTTTGGCCTTGTGTCACATCTAAGCAATGCTTAGAAAATCACTGTATTTGTTGCATATAATAATCTTTTTTGTTATCATGAGGCGACATAGAGACTTAGTGATCTACCAACATATATAGACACAATTATTAAACTGACCCTTGGTCTAAAGCCTGAAAACTTACTCCCATATACTAGTTCAATGCTGCAACCACAAGGCTAAGCACTCAAGTTGTCTAATTACACACACACATATATTGATATATATTTTTAAAGAATTAATCTATTGTTAATATGATATTTTTATAACTTTGCACATGATTTAGAATAAAAATGAGGCATATGTTTCAAATATGAGTATTCTCTACTAATACCATTTGAAGTAATATATATATATATATATATATATATATATATATATACATACATACACACACACCTCTGGTCAAAATCTTAAGATCAAATACAAAAGGGTTAAAAAAATATAAAATACTGTTACTTTAATCAAAATATATTTGTGAAACATTTATGTTTAATTAGAAAATGTAGTTTATTAACAAACAAGTGAAAATTTTAAGCTTTTAATTTATTAATTTAAACAAACATTGCAAAAAGGATTTTTTTGGTTGGCCATAAAGATGAGATCATGTGTGAAAAGAACAAATTACTGGACAAAAATTTTAGAACAAGTTAGTGTGCTCATAGCTTCAGGCATGTAGACATCTATGTAACTCATTTCCAGTATTAAAGTTCAGATTTTAAAATGGCTTAGGATAAAATTTTAACAAAGTTCAAACAGAGCAGGATCGTTGAACTTCAAAGATGTGGTCTTTTGCAATGAGCTATTGCAAATGAAATTGACCATAGCAGAACTGTCATTGGTAACTTCATTAAAAATCTGGATGCGTATGCTTCTAAAAAAATCAAGCAGTTTCCCCTCAATAAAAATCTCACCATCTCTTGACAGACACATTAGGCAAGAGTTAAGAGATTCAAGCCTAGCATCAAATCAGATAAAAGTGGATACAGGTGCTGAATGCAGCTCTTGAACAATTCAACGGCATTTAAATAAGAAAGGGTTTAAGAATGGCTGCAGAGGCTTTGCCTTCTTCTTCGCCATAAAACCTCCCATTTACAATTTGCTTCCAATTATCAAACTTGAGATGTGGATAAACGGAAGAAAGTTTTGTTTTCAGATGAGAAAAAATTCAATCTTGATGGCCCAGATGGTTTTCAGTATTACTGGCATGCAAAAGATGTGAAGATGTCCCAAAAGAAATTTTCTCAACACGACACAGTGGAGGTGGATCAATTATGGTCTGGGGTTCATTTTCATACAATGGAACTCTTGAGTTACAGGAGGTAGAATGTCGTCAAACAGCTGCTAGTTACATTGACATGTTAAGAAAGGCATTGCTAATTACTGAAGGCCCTCATCTATGTGGAGAAAACTGGATTTTCCAGCAGAACAATGCTGCAATCCACAACGCTCTCTGGATCAAAACCCAATCAAGAATGTTTGGGGATGGATGGATGGCAAAGGATGTTTGTAAACACGGATTGCAATTTGAAACTGTGGATGCTCTTCGTGCTGCAGTTTATACATCCTGAGCGAGCATCCCAAGCACCCTCCTGTAGAAGTTAATAATGAGTATGCCAAAGCAAATTTTCGAAGTAATTCACAAAAATAGAGGATTTGGGGGGGATTTTTTCAAGAATTTTTTGATACATAGCAGAAGCACCAGACCAGATATGGCAACAATCTCCATCTTTATTATTGTTATTCCAACATTTCAGCTGTTGTTCTATCTGGTCTCCATCAGGTATATGATAATTTGAATTAGCTTCAGGGAATTTTGAATTGAACACTTTATGTAATCTACAAGGAAAGACTGTTTTTGTCTCACATTCCATATCTATGGATACTACATCTTATTCTTTTTAGAACAAACTGAGATCGATAGATTTGAAGAGACCCAGATAGATAGATATGAACAAACTGAGATCGATAGATTTGAAGAGACCCAGATAGATAGATATGAACAAACTGAGATCAATAGATTTGAAGAGACCCAGATAGATAGATATGAACAAACTGAGATCGATAGATTTGAAGAGACCCAGATAGATAGATATGAACAAACTGAGATAGATAGATTTGAAGAGACCCAGATAAATAGATATGAACAAACTGAGACAACATATATTTACATAGCACAAATTCATTTAAAAGATTCATATTAAATTCAAACCACAAGATATGTTTTGGATTACCTCCTCCTAATTTTTGAAATTGCTAATTGGAGATGTTCTCAGGACTATAAATATTCTGCAATATTTTTCTTGTCCTCTTCTCACCTTATGCACTTATTCATCAACATGCCACCTCTTGCAGAGAATGCATTCCCTTTAGGAAATGCATGAACAATACATACACACATATGTACATATGCATATTCACTCAATACACATACTTTGGACCATTAGGTTTTCACATTCATTTGACACACACACATTTTTGTCTTTGTCACTTGTAACCTTTTATTATTAATACATTATTATTTGTTTGCACATATATTTTGGTTCTTTACACTTCTTTATGTGGACTCATATCCCGAGTCTGCCATGTTTGTTGTGAGCATTTCAGGAGACACACTTGTTTATCTCTCAATGCATACACCAACCTGCAACATATGTCTGTTTAAGTTTTTATTGTATTTTTCCATTCTTAGAATAAATTGTTCATATCCAGATGAAAATTGCAGGTAAACTATTCTAAGTTCATATTTTGGTTCTGTTTTTGTTTGAGAACTTTCAACTGCCTCAGTCATTATCAGGAACTTAGTGATGGCAGTATTGTTGACAAGAGTTTGTTAGGTACATACTAGCATTTTTTTTTTAAACCTATGTATAAGTTATGTCATGTGTAGAATGGTTTCGTTCCTATGATACGGACGGCATTTAGTTTATGAAAACGACTGGGATAGTTGAAAGTCTTTGAACAAAAACATGAATTTTATCCATAATTTCAATCCAGATATGAAAAAAAAAAATTAAAATTAAAGAAAAAATGAATAGAAAACAAACAAACCAACATCCATAAAATGTTATCAAATTTAGGAACATCATTTATTCAGTTAACTCCTTTTCATCTCTTTCTGGCTAATACTGCCCTTACACCCTCAGCCACCATCATTTCAATCCACCACTTAATATCATCAAACCAAGACATGGGTGTGGTCATCCCTGGTGCCTCTTGCTCTCCACTGGGCCTAACAGAATGTCCTCATCAAAGCCTTGTCACATAATATGCCCAAAGTAATAGAGTTTCATTAGTACTATAGGCTCTCTTAATATATACCTTGTTCTAATGGTATCTAACACCCATTTACTAGTGCATCTTGCTGTCCATGACACTCTAAGGACTTTATGATATGCTCACCTCTTGAAAGCATCAATTTGGTATCTTTCCCTCTTGGTCAGTGCCCATGATGTGCATCTGTAATTGGCAAAAGCAGTGGCACATAGTAATTTCAAATTTAGGTTGATGTGGACATTTAGACATTTCCAGATGTTTCCCATTTTTGTCGTAGCATTTCTTGCTATTGTCAGCCTTTTCTTGATGTCCTGCATAAAGCTGCCCTGGGTATTGCTGGTGGAACCCAGGTACACAATTTAGGAATAAACATAATAAATATGTTTTATAATAAAAAAAAATGACATCACAACATCAACGGTCATGTGAAGGTACAATACTTTAAAAATGATGAACTTTGATCAAAGCTTATGAAAGCAAAAATACTCAGAGTTTGGATGATTTATATTTAAACTTTCAGTGGAAATCATGGAAAAGTCCGAAATATCAAAATAAATAAATAATCCTTATGAAGAACTTTCATTGGTGTTTAACCAAAATTATACAAATGCTTTCATAGATAGATTTGAAAGAACCTGGATGGATAGATAGATAGATAGATAGATAGATTTTAACAAACTGATAAAAAGATTTGAACAGACACAGATAAATATATAGATAGATAGATAGATAGATATTTGAAAAGACTTAGATAGATAGATAGATAGATAGATAGATAGATAGATAGATAGATTTTAACAAACTGATAGATAGATTTGAATAAGCCCTGATAGATTAGAACAGACTCAGATCAATAGATTTTAACAAACAGATAGATTTGAATAGGCCCAAATAGATAGATAGATTTGAACAGACTCAGACAAATACAGAGAGAGAGAGAGAGAGAGAGATTTTAACAGACATAGATAGATAGATAGATAGAGTTGAATAAACCCAGATAGATAGAGTTGAACAGACCTAGATAAAGAGATAGGATAGTTTTCTGTTTGAAAAGTAATTAATTTAATAAAAAAATCCTAATATTTGGTCATTTCGATCGGACTTTGGAAAGTGGGTAAGGTTGGGAACTTTTCAGCACCCCTCGGAGATAGATAACAACAAACCGAAAGAGATAGCTACATACATACATACATACATAGAGACAGGGTTTAATAGAAGCTGAGAAAATGAAGAAGAATAAAAATGAAGGTTGGTGAAGGAAGAGAACTAACCTCACGTAATGTTAAGGACACAAGATAACTGTATTGTTTATAGATTTAATCCAGTCATGCGCAATCGGCAGATTTTATGTGGGGGTTACGCCTAGACAAACATCCTATTCTTTTCTCTTCCTCCTGCCACCCTCACCCACAGTCATCCATTTTCAACACCAGGCAGGAGAGAAATTGCTGGGTAGAGGATCGGTGCGACTTCCATCCGACACTAAAATGCGCTCTTTTGAAACAACAGATTCTTGCCCACATAACCAACACTCCCCACTCTTGCTTCGGAACCTCAACTCATCATCCAACCACAGACACAGTTCTTGATCCAAAAAAAGATCAAAGAAACTGATATGCCCCACCCTTGTACACTTGCAGGGAAGGGGCAGCCATTAGTATTTACATTTATTTTCAGTTCTTATTCCTCGACATGAATCCAATGGTCTGGAGACCCTGCGCCACCTCCATAGCTCGATGAAGAATTCAGCCAATGACCCCTGATTTTCTGTTGGGTTTGGTGAGAGAGTTGGAAGATTGTTGCGGCATCAGGTCCATTAAGGTCAAGACAATTAAAACCCTGCACCCCGTTTTTCTTGCGGTCAGTGGTGCCGAGAAGAGAAGCATTTTCTTATCTCGTATGCTCCAATGAAGGCATACCTCGCAAAGCTCCCTCATCGATGTCATAATGAGGTAAAGTATCCCTTGACTGAGATATTATTGTCCCTTGTCATCTCCCACCCACCCACCGTTAGCAAATATTCAATTTTGTGGTTCTTGCCCTTTTATTTATATTTTTAATGCATTTTCTCCTTTCATTGTTATTGCTTATCTGTGAATTTTAGACCTGCCCCCACTTCTATTATTATTTGTTGTTGCTTTTATTACTGTAGTTGTTTGTAAGAATTCTTAGGTTTGCTTTTCTAAAAGTCTAAATGTCACTTTGACTCTAGGAGCTAAAACAGTAGTTATAATCAAATCTCACAAACCAGCAAATCTTTTTTTTCAAAATACCCTAATGGTGTAAGGCAAGTATATGTTTTCTCACTAGACCTTTTCTATCTACACCGTGAGGCAATTCTGAGAGAATTAGAAGGTCTACCAAGATTCATTACTGGCTGTCACAATCTTATCAATATAAGATACACAGATGACACAATGTTGATAGCAGACATAGAAAGTAAACTGCAAGGACTCCTAAAGACTGTAGTGAAGGAAAGCAAGAAGAAAGGACTAAACATCAGTTGCAAGAAGATAGAATGCATGGTTGTTAGTAAATGGAACAGCCGAACATACAAATTACTGATTGGAGATACCAAAATTAGACAAATACAATTTACATATCTGGGAAGTGTTGTTAGCAAAAGGTACAGTCCAGCATGCAAATTACAAATTGGAGATACTGAAATCAAACAAGTATAACAATTTAAATATCTGGGAAGTGTTTTAATAGAGGATAGAATGTGTGACACTGAAATCCAAAGCCACATTGGGATAAAAAAAGATGTCTTCCAAAGGCTAAGCAAAGTATTAAGAAACAGGAATATTTCATTAGGAACAAAGAAAAGAATACTGAACTATCACATATCCATGATCCTTTATGGCAGTGAAAGGTGGACAATCTCTTCGCAGATGAAGAATCAAACTGCCTGCATACAAATAGAAAATGAATTCAGTAAATATACAAAAATAGAAAGAGGTGTAAGACAATGATGTGTCGTCCCATTAAACTATTTCAATCTCTACATTGAGACGATTCTGGAAGAATCCCAGGATTCATTATTGGCAGCCAGACTCTTAACAACATAAGATATGCAGATGACACAGTGTTGATAACAGACATAGAAAAGAAGCTACAAGAATTCCTACAGATGGTAATGAAGGAAAGCAAGAAGAAAGGACTAATCATCAATTGCAAGAAGATAGAATGCATGGTTGTTAGCAAATGGAACCGCCGAACATGCAAATTACAGATTGGAGATACCAAAATCAGACAAGTACAATTTAAATATCTGGGAAGTGTTTTAACAGAGGAAAGAAAAGCAAAAGATGCTTTCCAAAAGCTAAGCAAAGTATTAAGAAACAGAAAAAATTTAAAAATAAAGAAAAGATGACTGAACTGTTATGTAATATCAGTCCTCCCTATATGGCAGTCAATGCTTGACAATTTCCTTGCAGATGAAGAAGAGACCTGAAGGAACAAAAATGTGGTTCTACAAAAAGATGCTGAGAATACCATAGACTGAACATACAAGCAACAATGATGTTCTAGAGACAATGGAAATGAAAAGGACATTTATACTTAACCTCAGGAAAAGACAGTTGAAATTTCTGGGGCATATTATGAAGAAAGAAGGTTTAGAAATTTGATACTCACAGCACAGATCGATGGTAAGAGAAGAAAGCAATGGTCAACCTACTTGGTGGATCAGTGTTTAAGAGAGATAGCAAAAAAGACAAAATTTAGTAAGGTCTACAAAGGACAAGAAATTGTGGAGAGCGTGATTGCCAACATCCTGACGGGACATGATGTAGTTTAATAGATATTGATGTACAAAATGAATTCGCTGAGCAAAGTTAAAATTCTGACCTAGTCTGTTGCATTCATTTTCAAACAAATACATATTGGAAAGGCATGAATCCATCTGTTCCCTCCAGGTAAGGGCTAAATAGCAGAGTAGAATGGGTTTTCTAGCTTTGGATAGCAACCAATCTAAGAGAAGGAAAATGGAATTTTTTACACTAATATTTACCCAATATAAGGTCCAAGAGACACTCAAGGCAGAGGATTACACTGTAGTGTTGTATGAACCTAAGGAAAAGCAAGAAGTGCAGTTCATGAGGTTACGTAGAAAAGATAACTGTCAACCCTAGATATGATTTGGCTGTAGTGATCAGGAAAACATCCTACCAAGAGTCTGTTCTGCAAAGCATCAGTTCTTGGTAACAAACTGTCCGAACAGAACTTACTTCTAACTAATGGTAATACAAACGGTATGAGGATGATTCATCCTTATGTATGTGATATGACGGGTCCCAGTTGCAAATGTCAGGAATAGTGGAACCAAGGCATGTAGCTCATTAGAGCTTGTAGTGTTTCATCAGTGGAAAAGGGGCTAGTGGAGAACGCAACAGGAAATTACTCCACAATCTTTCCCCAGAAATACATGGCAATTCACCTCCCAAAGGGACATGCCAATTTTTAAAAAATGTCATAGTTGATGATCTGGTAGTGTAATGGTTAGCAGTGTAGAAAAGAAAGTGTAATCATTGAGCCAAGTTCAAATTATGGTTGAATCTGTGGCATTCACATTTGTACAAATCAGTTACTTATGTGCCATGTGTGATAGATGCTTAGGTGACCATGTATCTTTCAATACATGACTGACGAGGCAGATTTATTTTTCCTGCAGTAGGTTGCCGTTTCTTTCTGCGGTAGACCAGTTGCCATTCAAGACTATAGAACCAGGTCTGTCCTGCTATTTACCTATAGCTGAGGGGTGAAGAAGAGAATTCACACCTCTCCCAAGGGTATTAACACATAAGTGAATGCAATGGATTCAACTGGAATTTGAACTCAGCTCTCCAATTCCTCAATCCAAGCTGCTATCCATTACTCCTCTGTGAACATTAAGAAAAGTATGAAGATGTCGCTTCTTCCTCTTTAAGATCAGATGAACTCTCTTGTTGTCTAACTCTCGTCTCTGGTTCTTTAACAGAAAAAAACACCGAATTTGAAACTGCTCCCGATTTTTCTCAGTAATACATGACATTTGTGAAGTAATGGATAGGGACTTGGATTGAGGAATCGGAGAGCTGAGTTCAAATTCTAGTCAAATCCATTACATTCACTTACGTGCTAATACCCTTGGGAAAGGTATGAATCCTACTCTTCTTCTCCCCACCAGCTATGGGTAAATAGCAGAACAGATTGGACTATAGACTTTGATGGCAACTGGTCTAGGAGAAGGACAATTCTGAATTCAAAACCTGCAGAGGTTCATTTGGGGATCTTGTGGCACACGATGTGCCAGGTTTCTGTATTCAGCTCTTCAAAATTGTGGTTGGTTATACACAAAATCATCACCACTATAATCGTTATAATTGTACACATCAATTATGCGCTAATACCCTTGGGAAGGGTATAAATCCTTGTCTTCTACCCCCACTCAGGTATGGGTAAATAGCAGGACAGACCAGGTTCTATAGCCTTGGATGGCAACTGGTCTACTACAAAAAGAAATGGCAACCTACTGCAAGAAAAAATCTGCCTCGTCAGTCATGTATCAAAAGATTCATGATCACCTAAGCATGTATCATGCACGGCACATAACTGAACTGATTTCCCCAAAAGACAATAAATGAATCTGTGAAGAGCTATGATTGTTCACATCCTGAAGTGACATACTATTACAAAAAAATAAGAAATAAGTTAAATAGTAGAGTAGACTGGGCTCTCTAAACTTGAGTGGGAACCAGTCTAAAAGAAAGAAAACTTGGAGGGGGCCTGGGAAAAATACTGATTAATGTGTTTCTCCAAGAGCATTTCTGTGTAAATGAATGGAACAGATGAGGCCGGTATTTGAACTTGGCTTGCTGTTTCCAATTTCCATGCCGATAACAATGACTTCATGATACTATCGGCATGCAACAGTTGAGAAATTTGAGAATTTTTATTTTACTGAATAAAAGAAGAATAAACTTTAGGTGAAGTCTGAATTCTCATCCTCATTTCTTTAGGAAATATGACTTTGTATGATAGCGACTCTAACATTTAATCAATTCAAGCTAATCAATTGCTCTTTCAATAAAAATCTGTTAATAATAGCCACACAAGCATGGTCATGCAGCATCTGTCGGCCTCCATAAACAACACTTAGAGAGTTTTATTTTAAATTTAGCTGTTTGTGGTAGAACAGTATCTGTTTCATCAATCATACACAGGTGAGCCAATACTGGAATTTCCTCTTTTGGGCAGGATAACTTATGTACAATTGACGGTTGCCCATACAATGTCTTGACTCTACACACCACCAATATTATTAAAGCCAATCATGGCAATATTGTCATTGCAAAAAAATGTTAGAAAGAAGTTGGATTAAATGTTGGACTACATTTAGCACTCCAGTTCCTGTTTTTAACTTCAGGGTTTACACCCGAAGCATCCCAGGTTTGAGTATGGCCACAAAGTAGTAGAGGCTTGAAAGACATTTCTTTCTTTTAGATTGTTTTCCCTCTCAGATTAATGAGGTCCATCTCCCAAA